AGGGGTATATGGAGACTGTGCTACTTTTTAACTATTTTTATTGGTTTATAATCATTTTAAAATGTGTCAAATTCCAGTGTAGAGCACAATTTTTCAGTTATACATGAACATATATATATTCATTGTCACATTATTTTCTCTGTGAGCTACCACAAGCTCTTGTGTATATTTCCCTGTGCTATACAGTATAATCTTGTTTATCTATTCTACAATTTTGGAATCCCAGTCTATCCTTTCCCACCCTCTGCTCCCTTGGCAACCACAAGTTTGTATTCTATGTCTATGAGTCTCTTTATGTTTTATATTTATGCTTTGATTTTTTGTTTCTGTTTTTGTTTTTTAGCTTCCACATATGAGTGATCTCATATGGTATTTTTCTTTCTCTTTCTGGCTTACTTCACATAGAATGACATTCTCCAGGAGCATCCATCTTGCTGCAAATGGCATTATGTTGTCAGTTTTTATGGCTGAGTAGTATTCCATTGTATAAATATACCACATCTTCTTTAACCAGTCATCTGTTGATGGACATTTAGGCTGTTTCCATGTATTGGCTATTGTAAATAGTGCTCCTATGAACATTGAGGTGCAGGTGTCATTCTGAAGTAAGGTTCCTTCTGGATATAAGCCCAGGAGTGGGATTCCTTGGTCATATGGTAAGTCTATTCCTAGTCTTTTGAGGAATCTCCACACTGTTTTCCATAGTGGCTGCATCAAACTGCATTCCCACCAGCAGTGTAGGAGGGTTCCCCTTTCATGGAGACTATACAGTTACTCTCAATTTTGCTGTAAGCCTAACACTGCTCTAAAAAATAAATTCTAAAAGACAAAAACAAACCTTGGAGGACATAATATCTTTTTCCAGTTATATTGACTAGGGCCGTTTTCATTTTAACTAATGCTCAATTTTTCCATCTGAGGATTCAGAAGAGTGTGATAGCAATGGGGAGGGGAATGGTCTTAAAAAAGCAAATCTTAAGAGCAAATCTAAATCATTGAAAATGAAATCACTCTCAAAGTAAGAATGTTCATGTTAGGCTGGACATGTTGGAACACCTTTCCAAATGAATAAAAACAGGACAAGTTTCAAAGAATCGTAAATTTAATTCTAACATGTAGTAGATGGGTAAGTATGTGTAAGTGCCATAACTCAACCGTACACTCACTGACAACTGTGTCCCCTTCACTACCTGAACTAAGAGTAACATCAGATATGTCATGGCTTATATTCTTAAATCACACAGACCCAGTTACTTGTGTTGTTGGCTGCCATTTCATATTCCTTCAAGGGTGAAGCTATTGACTAGGAAAGCCAGGAGCAAAAGAAATTCATCTTGGCACTCACAAACCAAAGAACATTTTGGGGTCTCAGGGGGTGGAACCTGAACACATGGAGGGTATTGGAATTGTTAACTAATTATACTGCATTTTGGTTGCTTCTGTGTGCTTCAACCTAACATTTAGGTTTAGCAGACCTAACAGTCTGAAAAAAATACATGCCATTTCATTTCTTCTTGGAAAGCAGTGAACACTGCCTATTTTAAGTTGGTCACATATTTGCAATTTAAAATGTTCATACTGATATCTTTTCACCTAATTTTAAAAGTTTTTGGCAAGGCAAATTTATTCAAGAAAGTTAACAGATAGGCTTATGTTTTAAAAGTTACCTGTCCTTCTCTTGGGAGTTGGGAAGGGGGCTGCTGAGAGTGGACAGCAGGGCACTGCTGCACACCTCTCATGGGCTATAAAAGCAGGGGTCTGTTTTCAAGAGTTGGGAGAGAGGCTTACGACTGTCCAGGTCCACATGCAAGGGACTTTGGAAGTACAGTATTTGTGTCAGGCCTCCGCTTTCTCACATGTATATCCTGAGTAACTTGTTATTTACAGATGTGCTTTGGATGCTAAAGGAAGACTCAGTGGAGCATCAAAGAGTTTAACTCATACACAGAAATCTCTTGATCTTTTCTTACACTGTGTGCTTGTTTCAGAAACCTGAATCCCATTGAGAGACCAAACAATGTTTGGAGGGTTGGAGAACTCAGGTTTATTATGCCAATGGGCCCAGAGGAGTTAACACTCCAAGCTCTGGGCCCTGTCTGTAGGTTTACAGAGGCTTTTATAGGGTTTTAGATTTCAATTAAGTTTGCACCATATGCAAATTAGGTGTTAGAAATGGACCATTAAGGGGTGAGCTTTTGGGAACCAATGGAATTTTAGGAGTAAGTTTCATTTTCCTAGAACCACGCCGTTTTACAGAAGCACAAAAGTAGGAAGGCAATGACCCTGCATGGGAGGTCATGTTGGTCCCTTTGTGGGCTTTGCCCCTTCATGCCTAGAAAGGCTGCAGGGCCATGTGGCAGTTTATAGTTGTATCAAACTAAGAGGTTTAAGTAAGGATTCTGGGCCTCCAGGAGCATCCGCATCTCATAAATCATTACCCTCAAGATGGGGAGGGAATACCGTGGTCTTGCTTTACTCTTAAAGAGGGTTTTATGGCTAGTAAACTGCCAGTCTACCTGTCTTCTGCCCTGCTCATTTTCTTCTACAGTTGAGTGGCCTTCCTTTGAAAACTAACAAGGAGACTTGCAGAACAAACATAACATTAATCCAGACTCAGGAATTCGGGGGACTTAAAATGTCTGTTATCCTCATTTAATCCCTACTCTCATCCCCACCCCATATTTAACTGAGTCTTTTTGCACAATCATCCTCAACACTCTGATTCAATTAGGCAACACCTCTATCTCAGGATTGCTGAGATCACATTCCCATTAAAAAAAAATTTTTACAGGAACCTCCCAAACGAATAAAATAAAGACTATAAAAAACTCTGCATTTGAAAAATATCTGATCAGTTTGTATAAATGAAAATAAATGGCACAACTGTGTTATATGAGATGGAGATGTGCCTGACAGAGACTGATTAGGACTATGGATTGAATTACACTAAAAAGGAGTAAGAAGGCTGTCTTTGTGACACTGCTCTATTCTCTATTTGTCCACTCCATTCTGAGCTGGCAGCTGTCCTTCCTGAGCCTTGGAGGAAAGGCTGAAAGAGCATTCCTTCCTTTGGTCATCGATAGAATTTTTATTGAGCTTATGAGTGTGAGACAGATGAGAATATGAGTTTATGGACAGATCTTTTAAGGTAATTTAGATTTGGGTTTGGTCCTCAAACTGACTACAACCTGGAGGGGAAGATAAAAGCTACAGAATTAAATATAAAACAGGGGAAAAAGTGAGTGTTATGAGAAATACTGATTGTGAAGTCATGATATTAAAAATTGAAAATGTCTAATTTCCCATATGTGTCTTTGAAGATTTAGAAAGGAATATTCTCTCCCCTTAGAAATCTATGAACAGAGAATGCATTCTTCTGTCACAGAAATATCACTACCTGTGTGATTTGGGGGAGTCATTTCATATGCTTGGGAGTCAATCTCTTTATCTATAAAATAAGAGATTATAAACTAGGTGATCTGTTAAGAATTCAATTCCAATGAGGGTACGAGTAAAACAGTGTCTCCCATGCTTGGTAACCCAAGTCACCATTTGCAGGAAGATAAAGTGCTCAAGTTCATTAAAACCATATCAGCTCTGGGTTCATCTCAAATATGTAGCTTATAAATATGTTTATTTTATTCTAATTCTCATTAATAAAATCACCCTCCATGGTAACAACACATATTACTAACACTGGAAAAAGTGGGCTTCTGAATTTGGGATATTGCTCCTTGGAATCCTCCTCTGAAACTGTAGCATCAAATAGATGTTTCTTTGTTTCTTCTTCCTCCCATTTCACTTCATATAAACTGCCTGCATTACAGTGGGGAGAAAACTGAATAACCTCAAACACTGTTCTCGAAGAACTTTAATACTACTCACATGATTCGGGCCCAAAAAGAAAAGAAAGTATTTAGGAGCTAGAAATTACTGGCATCCCAGGGTAGGCCTTATAATGAGAAATATAAAACCACTTGGTGTTTTATGTCTGTTCCCAGCTTTTCTACTACATTGCAATCTCTTTGAAATATGACAGGTGAAGTCGTGGAATATGCTCAAATCCTTAAAGGAATATCTGAAATTCTCTAAGGGACCCTCTGATCAATTTATTTTGATCAAAGAAAATCAATTATTCTGTTCATAGAAAATTCTAAAAGACTCAGTCACTATTTCCATAACCAAATTTGTCAAAGTGTAAAATTGTGTTTAGACATCTCATCATAAATATTAAGCACTTATTTTGTGCCCATCAGTATGCTAGATATCAAGCACAATATCAAAAAAGCATCAATCTTGGTTTCTGACCTCAAGCAGCTCAGAACTTAGGTGAACACTTAGAAAACAACCAAGTACTACTTACATGAAGAGATGGATCAGTGCAGGTGGTAATAATCAGAGAGTCTCATGAAAGAGAAGCAAAATTTAGAAAGACCTAAATTCTATTCCTTTGCCTTATCTGCCCCAAATATTGTCTTAAAATGACCAAGCCACCCTCAGGGCTCAGTCAATCTGTTTCTGGTAAGCTGAGAATATCCAGAAGAAACAGACATAGAAGTATTCTGTTTTCTACAGCATCCCATTGGTTTGGGGAAATATCTAGGGGTAGACTCCTCACATTCATATGATAAAGGGGATGACTGTGAGCAGCAATGTGGCCTGTTCCTCTGCCCACTGGCACAAGCAGAGTTACAAATAACAGAAATGGAAGGATCACTACAAATTGTATTATTTAACTGCATGACCCACATGGAACAATCAACTCACTCCTAGGTTTGGCAGGGCCCTTCTGAGTTGATTCCCTGAAAAACAAAACAAAACAATAAAACCCAAACCAAACCAAAAAATAACAAATATATATAAAAAAGAGAGACTCTGAGTGTCATCAGCTTTGCTCAATGTGGCTGCCTTGATAAGAGTTCAGTTTTCTCTGTGTCATGAGAAACTTTTTATGATTAATGGAAGACAGAATATTATCCAGAATTAACAGTTCATTTCCAATTCTGTATTATAAAATTATTTCTGATAATGGAAAATTCTCTATTTCTTTAAATTAATTAAAACATTGAAAGTCTACAGTGTATAAAAGAAAGCACTGGAGTTCTGGAGAGGTGAGGCAGAATACCAAGGTAAATAGGAATTATTCCTTTTCTCAGAGATATGTACTCTACAGGGGAAGCATGCAGCACCTGAAAGGGGAGGAGAGGTTGGTGGGCCACGCAGGGTTGAAGGAGGAGCATAGGAACATGGGTCTGGGAAAGTTTGGCTAGCTTTACACTGCTCAATTGAAATACTAATTTGGAATATTTTCTTAACATCAGGGTTCAAGTTTGTTAGTTCTACTGAGACTTCAGGTCAGAAGAAAAGAACAATAGTGAGAAGGCATTCATGGCTTTGCATTCTCAGGAAGTCATCCTGCTGTTTGAACTGTGTATGATTGAGCATATTGTCATTGATAAAGAATTTTTATTTATTTTTGATCAAAGACTTCACCGTGTTTTCCTGACCTTTTCAATCTCCTGTTTGCCGAGGTTTAACATGAGCTCTCCTCGGGCCTGGGAGAAACTCTGAGAATGACCCCTGAGAATGAGCTCAGTGGTGAGAAGTCCAAGGACAGGATGAGGTTGACATTGCATGTGTTTTTGGAATAAGGTAGCTTGACTAGAAACTGTAATTGTGCAAGGCCAGCTATGCACTTCTGTGTGAGCTGATCCCTTATCATGGTCCCAGTCTTAAATATTCACCACCAATTACCCTGTGTTCTCAGTACCCACTGTGCTGATTGATCCTCTGCCTTAACTATATGACATCCCTTCTTTTATGACAAGTGTTAGGAAGATGATCTTCCAGGCTCTTCTTCAAAGGAAAAACACGATTTCCTGCAGCAGGATGCCCACCATCTCCAGCTAATCTGTATTCTGGGAAGATGTCCAAATATTTCTTTGAAACTTTCCCATGCATCCCATTTAAAAATATGTACTGTCATGTGGGTCCCATATTGGAATCTGCCACAAAGGAGCCAGCCAGTTATTGACTATTGTCTCTTTCCCATCCATAAAATGAAGACTTCTAAGAAAATATTTGCAAGAGAAACCAGGCTGAAAGCTTAGAATTAAAGCAGAGTTGGTGCTCCTTAGCTCCTGTGAAGTGATCTAAAAAAAGCCCTGATGGGTTCTGCTAGTGACTGAGACAGTGCTTGCTGGGATCCCTGTAAGCATTCAATCTGTGTTCCCTGGACCATGTTGAAATCTGGGCAAAAGTTTTCCTGATACTGTGAAAGCAGCTGGTTTCTGAGATTCCTCATAGTCAACTCTTTCATTTATTTGATTTGAAGTAACCCAGGTCTAATACCAGCTACACCTTAATTCCATGCCCCTCCCATCTTTTTTAATCAATGGCTGTGTGTGTATTTATTTGTGCATATGTGTTTCTTGGCCTAATACTAGGCTGTCTGTTAATTGTAATACACATTTAATACTGAGCTTCAATTCTAAACTTAACTGATTCTCTAAGACTAGGACATAATGTGTATGCATGTGTATATGTGTGTGTGTGTGTGTATGTATATATGTAGTTTGTTAAGAATTTTTAAGAATCAAAATAAATTGTAAAAGAACAAGATTCAGAACATTTTAGAGATAGAGAAAAAGAGATATGTGCCCGAAAGTGTATGAGAATTGGTATCTTGGGTTCTGCTGGTGGCTCTTCAGGCCATGATATCTGGGACAAGCCACTAACAGTCTAGGCAGGAGTCTCTGTTTTCTATGTGTTTAATGTAAATATCCTGGACTATATCAGAAAAGAAGATAGGAATATTTCATATTGCAGATATTTCAGACTTTGTTTCACTTTACTCACTCATTTATCATCCAACAAATATTCATTCTATGCCTACTATGTGCAAAACACTGCACTGTTTTCCGAGGATACATTGGTCCATTTAATGGATGTGGCCTTTGCCCTTCTGGGGTCCACAAGTCTCCAAGCATTCCTCCAGGGACCGTTAGGCTGGACACGATAAATAAGTGAGGACTAACTAACCAAACCCCAGTGTGTCCCCACACCACCGTTCTCTTTGGCTTTGCCTCCTGAATCCTATGTATCCAAATGCAGGTGCACCTTCCAATTATCCACTTATTCTACTAATTTATCTCTGCTAACTTCTTTATATCCAATTCAGTCTCTCCACTGAATTGTTTTGGAGGATATAAAAGCAAATATACATGTGCCCTCAAGAAACTTAAAGTTTAAAAAAAATAGAGGCAAATATGTAGCTGGATATATGAGCAAATTCAGGGCTGAGTAAAATCTCCTAATACAGGATATTGACATGGTTCAGATCCTATGACTCAAATACGCTTTATAATAGCTGAATGTAAGTAGGTCACCTTATGAAAAAGAGCAGTATGATAATAAACCTGGTGTCCTTTATACCATTACAAAATTGAAGGGCAAAAGTAGTTGGGTCTTACATTGGTAGATGAAAGAGTGGGTTAAATTGGAGAGGACTTCCCAGATTTCTCAGAGAAATTGAGACCTAACTGGCAAATTAAAAAAAACTTAAGGCTTAAGGAAGCCTGTTGTTTTTGTGAGCAGAATAGCTTTTGGTGTCTGGTAAAGGCCTCTGTGTAACTGGGGGAGTTTCAGACAGATTGATTACAAGTAAAAATGAGGGAAGAAGCATACTAAAGTATGAGAACAAATATATAGGTGAGTGTAAATTTTGCAATTTTACCTTCATCTTTGAGTGAACTTTATTATCAAATAAAATCCCTGGGTTTGCTTAATTTACTTCACCAATTCAATAAGCTGACATAATATTTTGCTCTTCATGGTCCTCAAGGACAAAAACAAAAAGCTATGTATATTCTGACAAAATACAATCATAATGCAAATAATTTCTATTTATAAACTGTTTTATAGTTCATGCATAACACTCAGTGTATTACTGTCATTTCTAATATGTTCTCTACTCTGTAGTCTGCACACCTGAGAGTGACAGCAACTATTAACAGTCCCCAGTCTTGCTGAGTCATTCTGTTCATCCTCCTATAGCTCAGCCATCATTCAGAGGCCCAGCAGTTTAAGAGTTGACAAGTGCTTAGCTATGGATCCCTAACTTCTTCTGGAGGAATGCTGCAAGACTGTGCACCACAGAAGGGCAAAGGTCACATCCATCACATAGGCTAGCACATCCCTAGAACCCAGTGCAGTGTTGTGCATATGGCAGGCACCAAATAAATATTTGGTAGATGATAAATGAATGAGTGAAATGAAATCTTAGACTTCTGAAATGGACATCTTCTCTATCTTGTATAGTGCAGGGTCGTCTCAAGATTTAATCCCTAGCTCTGTCTACATTAACATGTTCTTACTTGATTGAAGAATCAACACACTTAAAGACTGGGATTTGGAAGTGAGAAGGAGTACATCGGAGTGATTCAGGAAACCAAGAAATGAGATACAAGTGGCAACATTTGTCAAAGTAAGATAAAAAATTACTTATTACAAGATTACTTATCATATTTCTCATGGCTGTGCATGTCTTCATCTTCACCTTCTGGTAACATATACATCCACGTTGATTTGAGCCATTTTCCCAAAATTAAGGATCTTGTGACTTTGAGGTACCATAATATCTTGAGATTTTTATGATAATTTTTGACCAATGGGCTCTGGAAATGCTGGAAACCTTGACAGTATAAAATAACAAGACAGTGTGTAAAAACATGAGTCAGAAAATTATGGTTCCCTTTAGACATAGCTACTTAAATATAGCATGGTGACTAAAAGTATGGATTCTGGAGCAAGACTGCTTAGATTCAAATCCTGACTTTGCCCTTGTGAATTGTTTGAATTTTGTTGTTAACTAATTTCTCTGTGCCTTAGTTTTCTTTTTTTAACATTTTTTATTGATTTATAATCATTTTACAATGTTGTGTCAAATTCCAGTGTTCAACACAAGTTTTCAGTCATTCATGGACATAT